AGCAGGGCTGCTTCTCAGATCATGGTACCAGCACCAATTGGCGCGGGGGCGGGGGGAGGGGGGGAAGGGTTGTGGTCTGGAGCTCTGTCTAGCTGCATTCAGTTTTGCATTTTAACTCTTATCTGCATCATTTCAACTAGTAACCCTGGGGCACCGGGCATTGGCCTTGATTCTGTGTAGCACTATGGGAAGACAGACACAGACATAATATTTGCAAGACTATGCAACATTAACCAGCCATCTGAATGGACAATGGGTCTATATGGCCCATGCTCCCAGCCCATCACCATGTCTTTATTGGTTAACAGGGTACTTCATCATAGTATTCTGTACTGCAAGACACCGGTGATACCTTCACAATGACTACATGGAATTTTCCAAACTGGCAAATTCAAGGCATATGCATATAAGCATGTGTATCTAAGCTACTCTCAAATTTCACCAGTGGCCATTTGTGAATCGGTTGCTGTTTGCTTAGAACTGCTTGATGTCTCAGAAAAACAAGTCCAGCAGTATACAGGCTACAGAGCAGGAAGCTGATGCTTTCATAGATTCATAGATGTTAGGGTCGGAAGGGACCTCAATAGATCATCGAGTCCGACCCCCTGCATAGGCAGGAAAGAGTGCTGGGTTTCGATGACCCCAGCTAGATGCATGTCCAACCTCCTCTTGAAGACCCCCAGGGTAGGGGAGAGCACTTCTAACACCCATGGCCCCAACTGGACCCAACTGGACCCAAGAAGAACTGCAGGACTTAATCAACAATTGGTCAGAGCAAAAGATCATAGACCAGCTGGAAAGTAGAACGAATAAGCCCGTGTATGCAGCCATTACAAATTCGGGTGCAAGGGCACAACTGGGACTGGACCCAGTGCCAGTGCAAGATCATGGCCCTGAGATGTGCATTTCACTGTGCCAAAGATGCAACCTCTCGTTCTGGGGCAGGGTGCACAATTGCTCCTTTCTATGACCAGCTGTCTGTTATTCTGTCCAAGGATGCAGGCAAGGCTCTCTGGCTGCAGTCTTTCAGGACTCGTGTTGTGCTGGAGGAGAGCACACCAACAGAGGCAGCTCCTTCTGATGGGGAAACCGTGAGCATGTCACAGCAGTGGGGAGACTGCTCCATGGTCCTGGATAACAGGGACTCCCAACAAGAGTCCCAGCAGTATACCCTGACCCTGACTACAATGTCTCCCCCAATTAACACAGATGATGAGTAGCAGGACAAGGAGGAGGAAACTGGTTCAGATGCGTTTGTTTTTCCCGACACCCAAACATCGGTGTCTGTTCCCGAGACCCAAGGAGATGCACCACCGGAGATTTGTAAGTATGGCAGAATGTGCCTCTTGCCATTGGCAGGCGCTGTTTGGGTTCGGGCAGGGTGGATATATGCGGCGGCGGTTTGAAATGAATGTATCACTGGAGGTGGGCCATCATGCTCTCTTCTGGGTGAATGAAGGGTATATGCCATTGGGGGTGGATAAATGGCAATATTACAGATGGTGAACTCATTGTTTTGCTTTATTTGTTTGCAGCTGGTATGGGCAGTGGCAGCCAGGGACGTGACTCTGAACAGGGGACTTGTAAGTTTTGGGGAATGTGAATATTGTCACACGCTTTGTTTTGGTGTCTGCTGGCAGGGGGTGGAGAGGGTAGAGAGGGAGGGGGTTCATCACTGTCCTCGTCAACCCTTGTGGGAAGGAAATGTCACCAAACCAGGAACACTTTTTTTGCTTGTTTACCAGCTATCACGCCCGATGCCAGCCAGGCATGTGCCCCTGAACCTCAGACCCCAGCTTGCCCTACAGCAGAGTGGATATCGAGGGATATGTGCTGCAGTCAGCGAGGGTCCCGGGAAAGCATGATGGAGGCTTTGGTGGAGTCGTAACGAACCTGATTGTCAGTCACAGATGGCTGGAGGGACAAATTCCAGGAAATGGCAGCCGACACAAAGGCCTACCCCCGGGAGAAGGTGCTACACAGCACGGCCCAGTTGTAGTGCCATGTCGATGCTCACAGGGCATGCGTTGATAACTGATGCCCTGCAGTGGTTGCTGAAGCGCATTAAAAAGCGGGTACTGCCCCAGAAAGGGTGAAGTAGCTCCACTCGGCTTGCCTGTCCAGCAGGTAGCCAGGAGCATTACAGCCAAGCCTGGCTCCCTAATTTTGTAGGACTGGGAAAATCCCTGCTCACAGTGCTGCGTGGGGATTGTCTGGTTGGTGCAGGATGCAAAAATCAAACCCCAAGCATTCACCCAGACAGTTGCCAACGGTGGTATTGCACTTTGCAAAGCCCCCTGCCAAGTCTTTTCCCGCAGTTTTGTCTGCCACTTTTTCTGGACACTCGTTGCATGGGGCGCTGGAGGGGCGGGAAATCTCCCATGCAAATGTACACTGGGGAGCTGGCTGCGTCCCCCCTCACAAGTCTGCATTTTGCAAAGGCACCACAAGCATTTTGTCAAGGCATCCAGTTTGCAAAGGCAACCAAAGGGGCTGTTCCCTGCCAAGTCTTTTCCTGCCTTTTTTTGCAGTTCTTTGGTGCTCTTTCTTGACAGGGTTTTCACGCTCTTATCCAGGCCGGCACCAGACTGTCTTTTTTTTTTTTTATACCAAAATGAGGGTGGGGTGGGTTCCTGCCCTGCTCAGGGCCTTCAAATTGGGGGAGCAGTGGTTGGGGTGTGTGTATGCTGTAGCAACGAGAGAGGTTCGAGGCGGATGAGAGGCAGAAGGACTCAGTCCAGCAGGGAGAGTTGTCCCTGGGGGGCACAGGCGTGCAAATGTAGCTTTCGAGAAGTGTGCAGGCTGCTGAAGTCGAGTGCAGTACCTGCCGAAAGATCTGAGGTGCTGGACTGGGATGCCTCTTTCCTAATGACTGTGCTCTTTTGCATCTTATGGGGACAATGAGCCCAAGTAATTCTGTCTACAGTAATGATTAAATTGCTAATTATACTACTAGCAATAATTATAACTGATAATAACAATACTCTAGTCCCCATGTCTTAGTAATGATTGAGCACCTTTGTAGCTTGTGAAGCTCAAACATCTCTGGTCTGTCTGGTCAGCCTGCTCAGGCTGGGGTGGTGGGCAAGCGGGCCTCCTTCTAGATGAGGCCCTACCTTTCCATACATTCAAATTCATACATACATACATACATACATACATTCACACGTACACCCAAGGGACTATTGCTATAAATAAGCATTCCATCTCGACTTCTGTTCTCTATGCTTATGCCAAATACTAAACAGTCTGGTGGGTCTTAGCACCCAGGGTGATGGGCGAAGGCCCTCCTTCTTGGTTACTGGCCATGTCTCAGCAAATGAACAAGCCCTCCATACATCATTAATTTAGCAGAAAAATAGGGGGAAAAAAAGTAGAAAAAGAAAAGTTGGGATTTTCCTCCGCAGCACCTCTGTATCTATACAGCATTGTTTATTAAAACACTACCTATATCTATACACTATTTAACTATATGCTACTTATTACATACACTATACACTATTTGACTATTACACTATGTGACAGAGCACCTGTGGTGCCTGTCACTTCAAGGGCTAGGCCTGGGAGAGGGCAGTTGCCTGATTAAAGTGCCCATTTGTTGCCCAGCTCTCTGAGTTGAGGGGAGCAGTTTGAGACCAGCTGGTAGGAAAGAAACATCTCCCTGCTGAGCTCCGGCTCCAGGAACACCTCGGAGCTAGAGGGGAGGCTCTGGGGGAGGAGGTGACCTCAGTGGTCCTGGGTAGGACTTAAAACTGTACCTTGCTGGGGAAGGATGGCCTGGTGGGTGGTGCAGGACCCCCCAAGAAATGCCAGGCCAGTTGCCGCTCCAGTGAAAGGCAGGGAAGGATGTCTAAACCCTAGCCTCCACCATCCGGTGGGTTTATAGTTAAGACTTGTAAGCCAGGCACATCTAGGCAGGCAGCTGAGCCTAAGGGGGTGGTGGGGATGGAGGATCCCAGAAAGCCTGGTCCTGGTGGGGTGGCGGTGTGGAGTCCCAGAGAGATAGGAGCGGAGAAGTGGCCCAGAGACGGGCATGTAGTGTGCAATAAGTATTTTGGAGCCAAAATACTTGTGTGCTTTATACTTAAACTATTTACTGGGTCAGGACTGGCCAATGTTTACTAATGAATCATGGTACAAAAACGGTGGAGAACCACTGCCTTAGTGGATGGGGCTGTCTCTGCGGCAGAGAAAAAGCTGTTAGGAATGTAGCTAGAGTTGTTCCCCAGTGGAAGGATCTTTCTGGGACATAGCAGGAGCCCCAAAGATTGGGAGTATCTGCATGGATAAGTATACCAAGGGATCCAGGGAAATTAGTGTGAGGAACTGCCTTGGAAAAGTGACAGAGGCAGCTGGTATCTAGAGGACACAGGCAGACTGGACTCCAAAGGGACATGGGCTCTAAATCTGCCTCCCCTGTTGACTTGGACTCTGCAAGGCCTGGCTGCCCTGGTCCTAGGGCCGTGTCTGCACTGTTCCAGATGACCAGCATGTGAAGGCTGGCACTGGGGATGTGGGCTGTCTTGCTGCACTTCCCTTGGTGGCAGAGAGGAATGAAGGAACAGAGCTAGTTGGACCTCACTGGTGGGGCCATGGACACAGCAGGTGATATAATGACCCAGGACATGGTCTCCCAGACCCAGGAGTCATGGGGCTCATCCTGCCCAGCACCTACAGCTGGGGCTGGGTTGCAGAGGCTTTAAGGAGATTAGGAGAAGCCCAGGTGCATGGAATAAGAGTCCCTATGGAGCAAAATCTGGTTTGGGTTGGGACTAGGAAGGGGGATGATCACTGTGGTGGTATCCCCATCGTGGGTGCCAGAGGCTATGTCTCCTTACAATGGTGAGAAAGTTAATTTCTGAATGCCCCACTCCACACACCCCCACAAAAGAAATAAAACTTGCTTGAAAGCCAGGCCTGTCCTGGCATGTAAAAATCAAAATAGTGAACTACAGAGGAAACCTGGGAGTTCCCCAAGACAAAGTGGTTGAGAACTGATTCAAAGATATTCCCTTTATTGAGTGTCTCATCCAAGCCGGTTCTCTTGCAGGAACAGGGGGACCTGCCTGGTTGATGTAGAACTAGACAAGATCATCAAGGACAGTAAAAAACAAAGGACAAGGGTGATATCCCAAACACCACAGGAAGGAAAAGGAAGAAACCACCTTGCTGCCACAGGTAGCAGTTTACAGAACTGGATGGTTCAAAAAAGGACTTTTTTTTCAGGGCAACTTTGGTTTTGTCCCCCCACAGTTTTTATCCTGTCTTCTACCTGGCTCCGTCACTTAGCTCTTACCTGTTGCCTTCTGTCCCAGCTGCTGCCAGAAACTACCACATCTCACATGGGGCAGCCAACATAAAAGCAGAAGGGAGCCGGGGCATTATAGTCCAGGGGCAGGATCCTCACTCCTGCATGCTCAGGGAGGATGAGGAAAAGTGCCCTCCAACTGGCGTGACAATCCTGGTCCCATGGATTTGCTGGTGCTTGCTCGGGGCATAACTCAGCCAGAAACACTTCTGGTGCTGAGTACCGTGGTACAGCTTCTACCCCTTGTGCACGCACAGGTGGTTCGTGAGCGACAATCTCTTGGTGAAGGTCTTCCCACACTGGCTACAAGAGAAAGGCTTCTCCCCCGTGTGTACACACAGGTGATGTTTGAGGCTAGAGTTCTGAGAAAAGCTCTTCCCACACTGGCTGCAAGAGAAGGGCTTCTCCCCTGTGTGCACACGTATGTGACTGGTGAGATTGGAGCTCTGCATGAAGTTCTTCCCACACTGGCTGCAGGAGAAGCGTTTTTCACCCGTGTGTAGGCGCAGATGAATGCTGAGACTGAAGCTGTGAGTGTAGCTCTTCCCACACTGGCTGCAAAAGAATGGCTTCTTCCCTGTGTGCACGTTCAGGTGGTCTGTGAGCCTGGACTTCCTGTTAAAGCTCTTCCCGCACTGGCTGCAGGAGAAGGGTTTCTCCCCCGTGTGCACGAGCAGGTGATTGGTGAGTTTGGATCTGCTGGTGAAGCTCTTCCCACACTCACTGCAGCAGAATGGCTTCTCGCCCATGTGAACACGCAAGTGATATGCGAGTGTTGAGCTGTCACTGAAGCTCTTCTCACACTGAGTGCAAGAGAATGGCTTCTCCCCTGTGTGCACACGCATATGGCCATGTAGATGGTCCCGCCTGGTGAAGCTCTTTCCGCAGTCGCAGCAGGAGTACAGTTTCTCCCCGGAGTGCACACGCAGGTGCCTGGTGAGCGTGTAGCTCTGCGTAAAGTTCTTCCCACAATGGCTGCAGGAGAAGGGTTTCTCCCCTGTGTGCACACGCAGGTGCTTGGTGAGTTTGGAGCTCTGGGTGAAGCTCTTCCCATACTGGCTGCAGGAGACTTGCTTCTCCTCTGTGTGCATGTGCTGGTGCTGCATGAGCTTGGAGCTCTTGGTGAAACTCTTCCCACAGTGTAGGCAGTAGAATGGCTTCTCATCCACATGGACACAAGTATGGTTTTGGAGGTGATCCCATCTGGTGAAGCTCTTGCACTCAGTACAGCGGTACAGCTGCTCCCCTGAATGTACATCCTGATGCACTCGGAGTTTGCTCGGGGAGACAAAGCTCTCCCCACACTCCAGGCAGAGGTGTGTGCCCAGAGTCTCAGCATCTGCTGGGTAGAGATGGAAGTCCAGAGATTAGCCTCTGCCCAGTTAGCAAAAGGGATGATCTGCTATTTCCCTGTGCTGGGATGTGCCCCAGAGTACAGCTGGGCCTCAATTACTCTGTAACAATAAGGGAACCAATTCTTTGTGGACTCTGGATCTCAAGTCTCATATCTTGTATCCTTAGCACCCCACTTATGGAGTAGAATGTGGGCTATTCTGCTGGAAACAAGGAGGTGCTTGTATCCCCCCAGACATGAAAGCCTGTGAACTCCAACTGCACCTAGTCGGCACTTCATACAGATGGAGGGATTGATCAAATACTGCTGTTATTTTCTTAACTCTTCCAGAGGGGAAAAGTAGAATTAGAGTTCAAACTAAGCAAGGACTAGTAGCAGTGGGTAACAGAACATCCGCCTCTCTACAGCCCAATCCTTCATAATCCCCACAGCGTTTCTGCCAACTCTGATAGCTGCCATGGGGTAAGTCAAACAAGATAGTGCCCTTCTTGCCCTGGTCCCAGCTGCCATGGGGCAATTCAATAGAGGGCATAATAGCGGCACAGCCACCTTGGGCTAGGCTATCAATTATTGCCATGCTGAGGGAAGATGGAAATTCAAGCTCATGGTACCCCAGGGATACTAGATTTGTGCCTCAAATCAAGAGAGCAGGCTAGGCTGTGTCCCTAGCATTTGTCCCCATGGGCAGCCCCTCCCTTCCATGACGGAAACCCTTGCTCAAATGCCACCTGAGAGGAGGATCTGATGGGGTTGAAGGTGGATTTCCTACATAAACAGCCCTAATTACAGGAAGAAGGGATCAGTTGTCTGTCCTTGCATCAGTGAATAGCAAGGAGTGGGCACACACAGCTGTCTAGACAACACAGATCTGGCCCAGCTGTGTGATGCCAAGACCTTGTGGCAGCAGCTCAAGGAAAGGGTTTAGGTTTCCAGCTCAGTTGAAGTGTGGGTGGAAGGGGTCAGGGACTGTTGAGACTCACCTGGGGAAAAGTCCTCAGACAATGAGCTTTCTCCAGCTTCCTCATCATCACAGACCCAGAGCTCCATCTCCCCTAGCTGCATGCGGCAGATTAAGTCTGGTGCAGGACCTTGCAATCCTGTGTCAGGGAGAGAATAGAGGATGGTTATTCCACCATCCAGTGCATAATTGGGGGTTGGAGAAAAGATCCAGTGGACTTAAACATTGTAATGGGACTCACAGGAAATGGAAAGGAGGACATGAACGATAAAAGAAAGGGCACTACAGGTAGTAGCCTTCAACAGATCATAGCTTCGGTCACCCAAGTAAGTGGAATGATGGCCATATGAAATATAAAGTATCATCCCCTCATAAAGCTCACAGTGGCATCAAGGAAGGTGGGCTGAGATGCAGTGATTTGTGAGGTGTGAGGAGGAAGAAAAAGAATGCTCTCACAGATTTTCAAGATACTGATTTGAAAAGAAATACAGTGAACATACTCATGACCATCTATCCAACTGATCTTGTGAGAATAATTCCAGGAGAAAAAAAACAGAAATGGGTTTATTCTCAATAAGGGTTTTCAGTGATGTGTCTTTGAAGTACAGAGTCAATGACAGACTGTTGCCAATGAAAGCTTATGTATGGGAGAAAAAGCAATCCATTTTGGTACTGCATAGAAAGGGATAGAGGTGCACCAATACACTGGTCCCATACAGGATCGACACCGATATAAGGAAAATGGACTGTATCAGCAATCAGCTTTTTTTGACTGATGTGGCCGATAATGCCATGGATAAATGCACCATGCATGTGAGCAGTCACAGCACAGCATGCAGGTGGCCAGGGGAGCAGCCAGATCCGGCTAGTAAGTCTGTTGTGTGGGAAGGGGGGGGCACAGACTGAGGCCCCTGCAGTGAGGGAGGGAGTGGGGGTGGCTAGGGCAGGGGCAGGTGCTGCCCAGACGGGGCGAGGCGCAGGACAGAGCCATGAGTGGCTCATTTGGGGGATACAGGGGGTGGTTCCTACCATTACACCCCCCTTCCCCCTGGGAGGATATGGGGGGGTGTGCCCCTGGATCTGCATGTGGGGTGGGGAGGCTACAGTGAGTATTGGGGTGGGGTTACAGCCCAATGCCCCTCCCGTAGCTCCCTCCCAGTGCCACCACCGCCCGCCCCGAGTACAGCCCAGCCCAGCCCCGCTCCAGAAAGAGCCCAGCACCCCCACCCAGCCCAGCCTGCAGCAGCAGTCCACCCTCGCCCCGCACGCAGATCTGGGGGTACACAGCTCCCATGCCCTCCTGGGGTGGTGGAGTGGTGGGAGCCATGCCTGCCTGCCTTGGCTCCTTCCTGCACCCACCCCTGCCACCTTCCTCACCACGGGGGCCTCGATCTGCTTCCCCCTTGCCCCTTCCCCCACAACAGACTTACCAACCAGATGCTGCTCTCCATGCTGCCTGCCTGCATATCAGAATTAGATCGATACCGGCTGATATGGCTCATTAAAAATCGGCCATTGGTATCGGCCCAAAATTTCTCTATCGGTGCACCCCTAGAAAAGGATGTTGTTCTAACAACTGTAGAAGCAACTATAACAGCCTTTTCACCCAGTGGATGTATCCTTACAGGAAGTGATTCATACATGCATGTGTACTTAGGATACAGACTGATTTCTGCTCTGGATATAAATAAAAGAAAGAAGAAGGCACAGTTTTACAAAATGAGAAAGCCCCCTAGTATGGAACTGGTCAGCCCAGGTTCCCAGGAAAAACAGATGTTGCCGAACTGCCTGGCTCAGGGGGGAACCAGGAAATCCATAATCCAAAGCCAGGGAATCCATACCTCTTCGTTACCAGGGCACCCCAGTCTTTTCCTGCCTTCAGAGACATGTCCTTGGAATCTCCCCAGCCTCAAGCATGGAACCCACTGTTTTCCCCATTTCTAGAGATCCCAGTGGTATGTCTCTGCAAGCAGACAAATCCTGCCTTTCTCCATGCACTGAGATATACCCCAAGAGTGTCCAGGAAGCTGGGCAGGTGCTCTAGGGTGTAACAGGGTAACTCTGCCCACCTCCCTGTCTGGGCAGTCTGCCCACCTACACTCACCTACCATGCCTCGATGTAAACCAAAAGTTGTTTACTTTTAAACAGGAGGCTGCCCATTTTAAAGCCTGATGCCAGCATGTATTACATGGCTCCAAACCTCCCCTTATACTGGGTCCCATGCCTCATAGATGGCATCCAAATTTTCCACTATTCCCCCAGCCCCTTTGCTCAGGCATCTTTGGCCTTTAACTCATGCCTGGACTTTTAACTCGTGCCCCTCACTGGCGCCCCTTACTCTAACTATACCAGTCAGCTTCTGTGCAGCCCTTTGGACCGCTTTCAGGCCCTACCCTACACTGCTGCCAGGTGTGGCTAGCGTAGTCAGCGTCTTGTGCAGCCCTTCAGACTGCCTTAGGTCCTACTCTACACTAATGCTGGCTGCCGCTACTCCAGACAGCTTATGTGCAGTACTTCAGGCCCTACTCTACACCACCGCCGGGTCCCTATAACGCTACTCCGCCCCTTTGCTGGGGCCTCTGGGCCTCAGGCATCTGTCGACTTACCTGGGCCCCCATAACTGAGCCTACAGCTGTACAGGACTCGGGCGTCTGCCAACACACCTGGACCCTTTGAGGCATTATGCCCCTTTGGGCCCCAGGCACCTGTTGACTTACCTGGACCCAGGTGGGCCTGGGCCTCTGCTGGCAGCCCCCCGCAGTGGGTTTGGGTGGTTGTGCTTTTCTCTCAGGGTGCGCTCCCCTAGGCTTTCCCCTCCACGGGGTAACCCACAAGGCAGCGGGGGATGAGGCTTTCTGGCGCCCCATCCTTGTCCTTCACTAGGAAGGGACAGGTGTGGCCTTCCTGGACACTGCCCTGCTGCAGCAGCCCCACCTCACCATCCAGCCCCAGAAGGGTGCAGTTTTAGGCCATGCCCCAGGACCAGGAACCTCCTGCCATCCCCATAGTTCCTGCCCTGTCCTCCAGGTGTTCCTGAGCAGCAGCTCCAACCAAGCGATGTTCTGCCTCCGGCGGCTTGCAGCAACTGCTGCTGGCTTTCCTGCTCAAGCTGCTCTTATGGCTAGCGGCTGAGCTCTCTTCCCCAGTCAGGCAGTCTCCTGGTGCCCACGTGACTCCTGATTGGGGAGCGCCACCATCTGCAGGCTGCCTCTGCTGTCTATCAGGCCCTTTGAGTGGCAGGCACCACAGGGCTTCCTACAAGCAGGCACCCAAAGGTGCCTTGCTATGCAGGGGCCCAAACCTGCCTGGAAATTCATGGGGTTTGCAGGATTGGGCCCCTCAAGCCTCCGGAGCAGCTGACTAGGGCAGCTGGAAAACACAGGAAGCTTTTGCACCACCAAGCAAACAGACCTCTGCTGTAATCAAGTGACACAATCTATTACCAGCACTATTGTGGCCATGAATTTTAGGTGTTTGTGGTGCAACAAAGGGCATGGAGGCCTTTTTGCTTCATCTTTGTGCCTCCATAAACATTTATTTTTGATGCAGAAGGGCATGGAAAGGCATCTTCTGTTTTCACAGTTTGAAAGCACTGAAATGTGCCCTGCACGCTGGGATTGTTATGTGTCTGGACCAAAAACAATCAGAAAAAGAGTGAGGAAGATGGAATAATTCCCCAAGGTACAGTTGCTGGCGAATGAATGAATTGAAGATGGTACAAACATGCTGGGATGGCAATCATCTTGCAAAAAAATGGCTGAATATGGAAACAGCAGGGATTAGAGCAGGCGTGGGCAAAATACGGCCTGCAGGCTGCATCTGGCCCACGAGGCCATTCTATCCGGCCCGCAGGGCCCCTAAAAAATTTAGAAAATTAATATTTATCTGTCCTTGGTTCCTGTCAAAAATGACAGCAACCAAGGGCAGTAGGACCCAAGAGAAGCCTAGCAGGCTCCCACAACAGCAGGGGCTTCTGGCCTGGGAGCATGTGGCTGCACTGCGCCAGCCAGAACCGCAGGTAAGGGGGAAGGGTGGGCAAGGGCGCGGGAGGACCCCAGGCAGGGAAGGAGCCCAGAGAAAAGCTGAGCGCGGGGGCAGGTAGGAAAGGCAGCCCCTTGCCTGCCCCATGGCCAGCATCCTGTGCTGCAGCTGCTTGCAGCCCACCTGGGGCTGCCCGGGCCGGCCCCCG